TGGGCTCGTAAATCTGCTCATCTATTATAAAAGAAAGAAAATCTTTTTTATATAAATTGTCATTATAATAGCTTAAGAAAGAATAGGGGATCACCTGAAATAATGAATTATTTTTTTTGAAAATGAGCTAGCTCACGAGCTGATGAGTTGAGCTAAGACAAACTCAAGCTTAGCTTGTTAGCTCTTCGAACTCAATAAGGGCTGACCTAGCTAGCTAGCGCCCTCAAAATTTTAGTAAAGTTATTTTGGGTATTTATGATCTTTTAGGTAATTTATCCCCCATTGGCATCCTATTTTGCCCAAAGAAGGAAAAAAAAGAAGACCGTAGGCCCACAGCTTTCGTTCGAATGAGAAGGGGCGAAGAGCCACAACCACTTATTATGTGCGGGCGTCGATCGTTGTCCCAAGACTATTTGGCCCTTTTTCAGTTGCTACCTCTTTCGTTTTTTCAGGTTGTTATTTAGATTTTATCTTCAAAGTTCAAATTGAGAGTTGATATTTTCATCACCTTCATATGGCTTATTCATGGAAAAACAATAGTTTATTTTTAAAATTAAACTTCTAAGCTATAAAACTTATTACGTTAAAGGTGGCATGCTTAAACTTGACCGATATGTCTAACAAAATTATATCTAAGTAATTTTTTTATAATTAACTTTGTAGTTATTAAAAGTCAGCTATCAAATTTATATTATTGATATGTGTACTAGTGATGAGTTCTGTATTTTAAGCAGTTTTGCTGATTTTGCAATGCAAATTGTTAAGATAAAGAAGGATATAGTGTATCCTCTGGTTTACAAATTTATTACTTTAACATTAACTTTGTCCGTTGCTATTTTTATAGTTGATATAATATTTTCTGCAATAAGAACTATCAAACATCAATTGCATAGTATGATAAGTGATGATTGACTCAACAGCTATCGAGTGTCTTACATTGAAAAAAATGTGTTTAATTTGATTCTTGATGAAGTTATAATGCAATATTATTAAAAAAATATAAAATAGATTAATAAGATTGTAATCATCTTTCAATGTATTAATCATAATCAAATATAAAATTTTACTTTGAATTATATATTCATTTTATTTTTTAAAAAATATTAGTTTATTTATATGAAAATTTTACCCACCCTTAAATTTGAGGTTGGCTCCTCCCTTGGAGCTCCATTAAAATTTAAAAAGCTACTTATCAAGTCAAACTCGAGTAGACTCACAAATTATTTCTTTTCATTTGTATCATCATCCATCCTAATCCCAACTCATTGTTAACTCCCAACTTCTTCAATGCGTTCTCTCTGCATCAATCAGAATTTGAAATAATACTAATAATAATAATAACTGTTGCTGCTGTTGAAGCAATGCACCAAGATATGCTCTCTTGATACCAAGTGAATCTCCGCAAGAAATGCTTGGTCTAACAGAAGATGCGCAGAAAACACGGCTTGCCATAGGGATTTCTAGCTCAACAAATTTAGTATTAGACCCTTCGGTGACATTTCGTCGAACAGTTTGAGAGCATTCCACTAGATAGACTTTGACAGTAAAATTTTTACCGGACCTTTGCACACCTGCAGTAAAAATGTTCTCAATATCAACGTTGTACAAGGTCGTCTCTTTGTACTCGTCAAGCTCCATGGCGGTCAGCTGCAACGGGGTTCTCAAGGGAAAGATGCCCTCAAGAGCTTTGCACTGCTTTGATGTCAATGAATCTGGGAGATCTACAGAGAAGTGGATGTATAGTTTGCCTTGCATGAATGACTTCTGGTACATTGGCATTCCCTCGTCATTGATCGCTGTGAATTGATCAGACTTCACAACATCTCCGGGATTTGATTTAATAAGCAGCTGCCGGCCATCAAGATGAGTTAACACGAACGGGAAGCCACAGAGGGCTTCGGTTAGGGAGAGAGTGTGCTCAACGACGTGATCATCGCCCTTTATTTTGAACTTGGAGTGGTCTTTTTGTTGTAGGACAAATACGATGTCGCAAGTGACGCAATCAGGAGCTTCATCTGTCTCTCCGGGGAAGGTGATCTTATCGGAGTCGAGAGAGAGACGGGGAAGATCCTCGTGGTCAGCATCAGAGTCTCGCTGGAGGATCGCCGGCTGGGGTTCCGATTGCAGAATGTCGACAGAGTTTGGAAGTTCGCCGGCTGGAGTTCCGGTTGCAGGAAGAGGAGCAAATCCGTCTTCCATGTTCGCATCGTCGGATGCTGTTGGATCGGAAAGTGAAAGCAGGGTCGGCGGCGCAAAATCACGAGAGCTGAGATGGGGCTTCGTCTGAGCGGGCGGTAATGGAGGATGGGTAGCAATTCCATCTTCCATGTTCGCATCGTCGGATGCTGTCGGATCGGAAGGTGAAAGCAAGGTCGGCGGAGCAAAATCGCGAGAGCTGAGATGGGGCTCCGTCCGAGCGGGCGGTAATTGAGGATGGGTAGCGGAGGGATTGAAAGGAGATAGAAGCGGTCCCGTGAGCTGAGCAGAGGCAGAATCGTTAACAACAGTGGCAGCTGCTTCTTCGACTTCCATATCCCGATCGTCATGTACATTTTTTTCAGTTGAAATAGCCAAATTATCTTTGATTCTGCCGTGCGAATCAACGGAATGCTGGACATGCACTAGAGGCCGGAAGGAATCGAAAGTGAAATCGGAATAAGCTCCGACGCAGGGTATTGGGCGTGCGAGCAGATCTGAACGGCTTTTGGCGTGCTTGAGCGGAGGAGGTTCGCTGAAGACGCCCTCGGGCTGGTTGCGAACTGCGCGAACAGGCGGAGGATCTCGCCATCGCAATGGAAGCTCTAGCGGTGGGTATTCCGGCGGTGGATCACGCCATGTGAGCGGGAGTTCGAGCGGAGCGTAATCATCAACGGCCGTGGAAGTATGGCGGGACGGATGGCGTCTGCGTGAAGCGGATGAGGAGATCGAAGAAGAAGAATGCCTCGGTATGGTTGCCGACGACATTCTCATCTTCCTTATTGCCCGAAGGTTTTTGCGAATTCGATCAAGGTTTCTGTCTACCTGATCGAGCGATTCCTTCGATTGAGCTTGATAGAAGGCGATCCGGCTTCGAGCATCGTCGACAGCCCACCTTCCTTGGCGTCGATCGTAGTCGACCGCCAATCTTGTTTTGCGGCTTCGATCGTCGTCGACAGCCGACCTTCTTCTGCAGTCCATCGATCTTCACAAGCTCCAGGCTCTGATACCAACTGATGTACAGTATTTTAGTACAAAAATTAAGATTTTTTACTAAAAAGCCGCTTTCAGAAGGAGCAAAAAAGTCTTCCCAAACGAAGCCTTATTTTCTATCGCTTGAAATTTGACTGATTATTAAATCGAGATTTTAATTTTAAACATCATTATCAGTCCTAACCATCAATCAAAAGATTTTTTTTTTCTTTTTAATTTGATTAATTTTTTGGATTTAATCCATCTTTTTTGGGCCCACCAAAATTTTATAGAAAAAAAATCGTATCACGATATCGTGATTTATTTTATATCATGATGTGATTTTTATTTTGACACATAATTTTCCTTTTATATTTTAGTGTTATTTTTTATGTAATCATATTATTAGACAATATAATTAAACCCTAAACAATACAGTCAACTTCTTGAATATTTGTTAGTTATCGAACTATATCTTGATGTGGTGGATCGGCGGAAGTCGATACCTGCAAGAAGGATTTGAAAACTCCCAATCCAGGGAAGAAGAAGAAGAAAGCTTTTCAAGCTTCAAAAGGTGTATATATCATTCAATGATCCCTCTCTTACAATAGCTTGTATATTTATAGGGTAAAAGGAGTATTCTAGAAACTAGTGGTAACAAACTAAGATAAAGTAATCCTAAGGACAATATAACTAAAGATGTTCCTACATCATATCTGACCGTGTTTCGCAGCAGATTCGTAGAAAAAAAAATTAAAATATTTTTTTTCTACAATAATTATACCTGTAAATATCTATTAACTTAACTATATGATATAATACTTTATATATATTAGGTTAATAATTTAAATATAGTGAAGGATAACACATAATATATAAAAATAAGAATAAATGTAAAATTAAAATAATAATAATAATAATAATAAGCCCATCATGATACAGTTTTTTTAACATTTATAGCACTCAAAATTTTCTCATTTACATATTTAAGATAAACTTCATTATTTATATAATTTACAACATTCATAACTATGTAAATCGAGTTTAGTCATAATCTGTACCTTTCAGGCTAAAAAATTCCCGCGGAAAGTTTTTCCGGCGATTTTTGTTTGACGAAAAATTTTTTCCACACTCATTTTAGCGTCGAAATTTATTCCGCCGGAAATCCATCGAAAAATTTTCAAATCCGTCGGAAACTTAACAATTTTCAATCAGAAAATTCATCGGTAATGCATGATTTTTCTGTAGTGTGCCTTAGCAAGATATGTAACAACTAGTTTATATATTATCAACCGACGACACATGTCAAAGATAATGGTATCGTCAACATGCAAAGGTCTCTACCGTGCCGAATGGGAAATGTGCGAATGTTGATATGGATTGTGTTTCAGAGTAAGTGATAATTATTTATATTTGAAATTTTAAGTGTTATATGATTAAATGATAAAATTTAGATTTTTTTTTTTTAATGGGGATATCTATCTGCTGCCACCATAAATTAAGGAGACGCATGATGGTGTAACTAATCCCTCGGTGAGCCTACCAGCAACCAACCTACCACAGAGTTATTTTCTCCCCATTTAAGAAGTCACACCGCATGAAAGAGAAATCAAATATGAGTTGCGGGGTTTCCATTCATGCTCGCCCACCAACTTAGCCAAGCCTAGTGTGGTTGATGTTAAATATGTAAATAAAAATTTTTCAGCAAGCTGCATGTTTTTTTATTTTTTTACTTACTAATTAGCCAACTTATTTTTAGAGAACTCGTGGCTATAAATATTAAATATGAGCGGGAACAATGCATAAGTAATAAACACTGAGTAGAGGGATGGTAGTGGCCGCCATGAATGAAATGATGGAGCGCGATATTTTCGGCTTCAGCTCCACCAATTCTATCCCCATCAACGCCGATCTTGGCTGGAGAGACTGGTCACCGGGTATCAATTGGGACGATTTCACAGGCGCCGACGACTTTCACGGCCAAATTGACTCCATGATGACTGCCGCCGTCGACCTCCATGATTGGTACACATGCGTCAGCCCAACGAGCACCAACTGCCCCGGCTCACCGGCAGAGGACCTTATACCTTCCTCCGACGACACCGCCGTTCGCCTCGTCCACCTCCTCAAGGCTGCGGCTGAATCCCTTAGCGGGGACCTCAAAACCCCTGCTCTCACGGAAGCGATATTGGCTCGGCTCAGAGAATTACTACTTGCTCGCACCACCTCAACTGGTATGGAACGCCTCGCGACACATTTCACCAACGCGCTTCACTCTCTCCTCGACGCCGCCGGTGACGTCGAGGAGCCGCTGCAGCAGCCTTGCGAATTTCTGAGAGCTTTCCTGCTCATGCAAGACATGTCGCCCTGTATCAAATTCGGTCATTTTACGGCGAATCAAGCGATTCTTGAGTCGGTCGCCGGAGAGCGGCGGGTGCACATAGTTGACTTTGATATCGCGGAAGGCGTGCAGTGGGCGTCGCTGATGCAAGCGTTGGTGTCGATCAACAACGGCTCGCCGCCGCCGCATCTTAAAATCACCGCGGTTGCGCGTTACCGGAGGTCCGTTCAGGAAACGGGAGGGAGGTTAGCAGACTTCGCGGCGTCTGTCGGGCTGCCGTTCTCTTTCGGTCAGTGCCGGACGGATTACGACGGGCAGTTCCGTCCTGCGGGGATTAAAGTGGTGAGAGGGGAAGCTTTGGTGTTCAACTGCATCCTCCAGCCGGGCTCCGCCGGCGGATCTTTGTCTTTCATCTCCGGCGCTGCCGCTCTCGGGGCTCGTGTGGTGACGATTGTCGACGAGGAGAGCGAGGGAGTTGGGTTTGAGGGGAGGTTTATGGAGGAGATGATGAGGTATTCGGCGATCTGGGACGCGCTTGATGCTGGGTTTGAGAAACAGGGGAGGGAGAGGGAAATGGTAGAGAGGGTATTTTTGGGGCCGAGGATCGCCGCAGCGGTGGAGAGGGCTTATAAGGGGATGGAGGCGTGGGAGAACTTGGAAAAGCGGCTGGAGGCGGCGGAGTTTGGAAGGATGGGATTAAGCTTCTTCAACATTTGTCAAGCTCGTTTGTTGCTCTGCCTCTTCAGTGAGGGATACCGACTTGAAGAGGGGACGAATAAGCTCGTCTTGTGTTGGAAGTCTTGCCGGCTGATATCGGCCTCTGTGTGGTCAGCCCCGCCGCTGCTGTCGCCGGAGGAGAGTTACTTGAGCAGTTGAAGTCAACCCTTGCCACGTGTTTTGCCAATTATTATCTTTACGGTCAAAAAGAGATCTTCAAATGACCTAAGCATAGGCTTATTTCTGTAGTTTAATGTACTTGACGTGATCGATCTTCATGTGGATGCAGATTATTTATAGGCTTTTATCATTATTCTAAAAGTTTTCGCTATGCTCGGGATTATGTTAGCATTGAAGTATTAATTAAATGCATGATTTAACTGTTTTTTTTTTAAGCTGCTTCACCCAGCACTTCTTGATATATTGGTTTAGAATTTTGCCTATGAGATTTTATTATCGTATTTTATATATGATATGTGTGTCAATTTATCTTAATTGATCTAAATATTTTGCTCTCATACCTCCAAATTAGTATGTTTTATAATTTATGTTAGGAAATAGGAGGATTTCTTTAGTTCTTCTTGAGCTCTTCTTGTATGAGAGAGAATTTTGAAGGAGGAAAATCTATTCTAAATCTTTATTCAATTTTTTTTTGTAAATTATACATCAAACTATAGATTCTTTATATAAGCATTTATAAGAGATGTGATGTCTTGTAGAATAACCTAAACTAAACTTGGATCAATCCAACAATCTCCACATTGGTCCAACTTTTACAATGCACCGATTGCGATCTAATTGGCTTCCTACACTAGCTCTACAAGCAATCCTGTCGAACCGAGCCCAATCCCGCTCGCAAACGGCCTCATCCAGGTGTTCCCATCAATGGCTCCAGCTTATGCTCCAACACTAAACCACTAGTCTTTCTCGGACACTCGTGCACTCTCCAACCATTGACCTCGCACTACACTAGTCTGATTCCAAGTCTGCAACCAACCTATTGACCCGAGTTTCTTGATTTTGCTTTTCTTGATCCACTGCTCTACAAAAACTTATTCCCTACCTTCTCCCTCATATGTGCCCGACCCGGCGTCTTCTGTATGCATCTCTCTAATGCCAAGCCGGCATGAATTCACACAACCTCGTGCGTGAAGCCTATCATTTGTTTGGCCCATTCATTACCTGCCCGAATATGCATCCTACCGATGCCTCAAAATGCCTACATGAAATCATCATTTGCATTCTCCTATTGCATGCGTGAGCCCAACATCCTTACAAACCTCTAATGCCACCTGGTGTCGTTTCACGCAATCAAAAGAGGCAGTTAGGGCTCGTTTCGTGCATCATATGCATCCCAATTTCCCTCTCTGGCTTTGTGCATGAAGCTCTCTAGATCCTGTCTCTCTTCTCCCAACGTGAACCCGTCAGACCCGCCTACGCCTAATCGAACTCCTGCCGCTACGGCTACGTTTGGTTTATAGCTCCCGTACAGGCGAAATCCTACACAGCTTTGCTTCTTAGTTTGACTACAATCCCGCTCCAGCCAGCGATCAGCCTACGCCTCTGCTTTCGAGCGAATGTCACTAGCAGCCTGTGAGCTCGTAGTGCGACATCTCCTCTCCTATTTCTTGGACATAACACCTTCTTCATCCTTTGCTAGATCAGCTCCTCTAGGCTCTGATACCATTTTGTTAGAAATTTAGGAGAAATTCTTGATAGCTTCTTGAGCTCTTCATGCAAGAGAGAGAGAGAGAGCGGGAGAGGGAGGAGAGGGGGAGAGATAGAATTTTAGAGGAATAAAATCTATCCTAAAGCTTTATTCAAATTATTCCCAAATTATACATCAACATATACATTCTTTATATAAGCATTTATAAGAGATGGAATAACCTAAACTTGGACCAATCCTAACAATGGTCATAAAAATGTTAAGATGAATGAATCCCATGCAGCAATGGTCGAGCGGGACTTTGTTGACACTGGTTCTTATAGCAATGAATCTCATCAAGAATTGTGCCAACCCTCTACTGAAATTTGAAGAAGTATCTAATGGATATCGATTACGAGTTTCCAATGTAAACAAAACCATTCATTTGAAATCGGTCCTAAAGCTATTTATATAGATTTCATTCTGATCCCCAACCGCACTACTTTTGAGGCTTAGGGCCGAGGGCATAGTATTCAAGCGAAATTCTTAAAAGAAGGCATGGCTTGATAACATGTCCTCTAATAAAAATATTCTTAATTAGAGATGTAAATGAGTCAAGTAAAGATCGAGTAAAATGTGTTTAATTTAGGCTCTCCGAATAAAATTTCTGACTCTGCCACTGTAAGAAAGTGAAATATAGTTTTTACACATTTCTAATAATTTTGTACTTACAATTCTGAATTTTAATATATTTTAAGTGTAGTTTATATTAATTTTTTTTAAAATGAGCTGGCTCATGAGCTGCTGAGTTGGGTCAAGACTGGCTCATTAGCTCATCAAGCCCGGTTCATGAGCCATTTATCGAGTTAAGCCTAAACTGATCACTCATGAGTCACCTTGATTCACATACATCCCTACCCTCAATCGATCCAAAGATATTTCAGTCTAGCAAAAATGTCAAAAATAATGTAAATTGATTTTCATCACCAACTCGATCACATAATAAAAAATTTTTTAAATCAAAAATATTTTGGTCAAACATAAATTTCAAAGTCAAACGGCTTGTCTTATTGCACCCACCAAGCGCATGACCCAGCCCGTGCTAAATTGTGTTCGCCCGTTCTACGCATGGCACTCCCTTGTAATCCGCCCACGCAAACTTGCACCGTGCCGGTCACGTCCGATCCATCTCGCCTGCTCCCGCCACCCATGCCCAGGGCCCACGGGCACCCTGCTTGGCCTGTGTGGATAACATAATTTTTATTGATTTGTCTGTCTAGAAGTTACCTATTTAGCCATATTGGAACTATTGATAGACATCAAGGATAAAACAAAACTACATAAGACCTAAAGAAAGTACAACTGAAAAACTAAAATAATTATGGACTAATGCCTAACTAGATGTATGAATCTTTTATGTTTATAATCAATCGAGGGCTTTGACGAGAGAAATCTGATGAGCTCAAGATCACTCAATTATGATTAAATTATGAAACATAAGTGCCTAAAAACTATCTATGATTCAAGTAATTCATACAAATTATATAATTGAGTGTTTAAGGAATTGGCTATGAATTTGGATATTTGAATTGAAGTTTAATGAATAAAAATAATATGATAAGTTTAATGAATTAGAATAATATGAGGGCATTAGTTTTATAAATAGTTATATATGTGAAATGTATAAAATTGTAAAACTAATAAATATAACTTGTGAGTATATACATGGAAAGATTGAGCCCAAGTTCGTTTTCTATACTAATTTCTTAGGTAATCAAGATTATATTAATAGATCAATGAGTTTTAAGAACTCCTTTTGGCTTCTTTGAAAAGAACTTCATTTTTTTGTGGGTATTCATTTAAAGTTTCTAAGATGGCATTTATTTGATTTATAAACAATTAACAAATGTATACTACTTATTAGTTATATCTCATTTCAAATATAAAATTTTATCAAGTATTTTTTCTTGTGATATTAAATATAATATAGTTAAATCTCTTTTTAAATTAATGTTAATTTCTTATGTGATGTTTCACAAGAAAAATTATCCGAACAAATATGAAACTTGATGTGATATTTAAATTAAAGAATTTGAGAATTAAATTTGGGACCATATGAACTTTAATTTCATCAAATTTATAGTTGAAAAAAAAGTTTTTTATGAAATGAACTCAATGGCATCAAAAGTAGTTTGATTTGAGCCCAAGTGACCTTAAATCATGCACTCAAAAATATAAGCTTAGGGGACTAAATGACCTCCAAATATTGAGTACTTAATATTAAAATGATTGTCTCAATGAATGAAATCCAATGAGCCTAAGATCACTCAATATGGATATCATTAAGTTATTTAAATGAGTAAGGAATGATTTTATTATCAAGGGGATCATCATAGATTGCCCTATAGAATGTTTAAGGATTTTAGCAAAATTAACTAAAATTTTAATTCTAAATTATATAAATAGACCATCATTTTTAACATGACGGGATCATTAACATAAAATTAAAGAGAGCTTAAAGATTTGAAAAATATCAAAGCTTATCCAATGATGATTGATACTAATGAACAATGCTATCAATCTCTAACCATTATCATCTAATCATCATAATCTCGCTACTATCACTTGAACACCAACACCAAACCATGGTTTCTAGTCACTCGACTATCATTACCCAACTACTTTTACTCGAACATCGTCGACTGACCACTATTGTTCAACTATGTCACCTAACTATCACCACCCAACCAATGTTGATTGAATATTATCATCTTACCATTATTGTTGACTACCATTCCTTTTTTAAGAAAAGACATCCACCAAGCTATTGCTAACAAAGTTGATGCACATTGTTGACTTCAATATTGACGCACACCATCACAATAACGCTAATGTGCATTATCAACACTAATGCTAACACTCGCTAGTACCAATAAGACCAATGCATACCTTAGAAACATCAATGCATTATATTGAAAAAATGACCAATTAATGCTAACACCTACCATCACCAAGAATATAGATGCATGTTATCAACACCAATATCAACTCACTCTATCAACATCAACCCTAATCCTCATGATGATCAATGCACACTATAAAAGATTCCCCTATCCATTCTTTGGTTCACACTAATGTGGTCTCGCCTGTGACCAATGGTACTTCAGGAAGTTCAGCAACTTTTATTAATGTTCCGATTATTGTTATGTCTAATAGTGAATTGAAGGCTCAAGTGGCTAAATTTATCAAAAATTCTATTTTGATGCAAAATGATTGGCTAATTCTGAGTGACGACTCCTCTTCGTTTGATGGGGAGGAGGATGAGGATTTTGGTGAAAGTGAGGATATTGCGCCTGTTAAGCTTACTGACCCAAGTAGTTCTAATGGTGGTAATAGACGTAAAAATAACGGTAATAAGAAATAGGCTATAACTCTTAACTATTTGCTCTTCGGCGGTGGTTTTTGACGGCTTTCTGGATAATGATGAGGAAGCTCCCAGCTTCCCCTCACTGGCTCGGCTGGTTGGCAACCAAGGTGATTTGGTCTTTTGCTTGGATTGCTTTGTGGTTTGGACTTTTGTGGATTTCTCACCTATAAATGGTCAGTGGCTGGTCGCGAGGCTAGTGCAGGGGGCTTCCATTCCTGAGTCTGATTTTGTTTTATTTTACTCTCATTGTATTGCCTCGAATCTTGCTTTATATTTTGAGTCTTTTTCTATGTTGTTGCAATGTCTGGGATCACGGACTGTAATCTTCTATTGTTTGATAAATGATTTTTTTATTGGAAAAAAAAAAACTATAAAAACTAATTAACATTGACTCAAAATGCTAATGTCCAACATTGACATCAAGATTTATATTGTAGTTCTTGGTATATAATCTTCCCTTGTTTAAGAAGAACAATTAAACAAATGATAAAAAAATCTCATAAGAAACTCTAATGCTTCAATGCTCATTTTGTTATACTATGGAAGCCATCCTCCAAAATTCATATATAATATATTGTATTAATATCTTCTAGGGGTGTCAATTCGGGTCAACGGGTCGGGTTCGGGTCGAACCCGGAACTGACCCGGCACTGTTCGGGTCAACCCGAACCCGACCCGTTTTTAAAAACGGGTCAGGTTTCTGGACCCGAACCCGACCCGATTCGGGTCCGGGTCAACCCGACCCGACACGAATGACCCGGAATTGACCCAAAATTGCTAATTTTCGGGTCAAAAATCGGGTCAATCTCGGGTTTTCGGGTCAAAATTGGGTCAAAACGGGTCAATCTCGGGTTTTCGGGTCAAAATCGGGTCAAAAACGGGTCAATCTCGGGTTTTCGGGTCAAAATTGGGTCAAAACGGGTCAATCTCGGGTTTTCGGGTCAAAAATGAGTTTTCGTGTCACTTTCGGGTCACTTTCGGGTCAATTTCGGGTTGGCGGGTCAACCCGAACCCGACCCGATTTTTAAAACGGGTTGATTTCATGAACCCGAACCCGACCCGTTTCGGGTTTGGGTTGACCCGAACCCGGATTTTTCCGGGTCGGGTTCGGGTCGTGTTTCGTGTCGTGTCAAAAATTGACACCCCTACCTAACTCCAAAGAGCAAAGCATGCATGATGCATAAAAATTTATTAAAATAAAAGTCCATAGAATAAAAGAGAGAAAGAGATTCTTAAAGGAAGTTATTTATGGGCTCATTGAATGCATAAGAAAGAAAGAAAGATTCGTTTGGGACAACTTTTTTATGGCTTTCTAAAACAACTTTTTAGTATAAAATTTTATAGTTAAAGAAAAATTTGAACTAAAAAACTGCTTTATAAAGTAGTAAGAATGTTGTCCTAAATAAAACCTAAATATTATGTAGAGTTGTTGAGGGCGCTATGGGTAGGGGTGTCAATTTCGTGTCACGAGTCGGGTTTGGGTCGAACCCAGAACTGACCTTGGTTCAATCGGGTCGACCCAGGTAGGTAAACGGGTCAGAAGCTCAGATCTAAATCCGACCCGTCGGGTTGCCGAGTTGATCCGACCCCACACGGGCGCACAGGCAGGAAGCGGACTCGGGCGCGCAGGCAGGCACACGCAGGCGTGAGCGCGAACGCGGGCGTGCAGGCATGCGTGTGGGCACGAGCAGGTAGTGCGGGCATCCGCGGGCGCGACTCGCAAGCGACAGCTGCGTGGAGCGGGCAGCCTCAGGCAGGGCGCGGGCAGCAACGGGCAGGCGAGAGTAAGGCGCTGGCAACTGCGCTGGTAGCCGGGGCAGGTGCGAGCAGCGTGGAAGCTTATTCTAACAGGTTTCCGAGTTGACCCGGCAACCCGTCCGGTCAACCCGAACCCGACCTGTTTGAAAAAATGGGTCTCGTCCATCCCGAAATTTTCGGGATGAATTTTCATGTCGTGACAAATATTGACACCCCTAACTATGAGTTGGCATATTCCCTCTTGACTAAAAGTCTACTCTTTTTAATACTTATCTACTATGAATTGGTTGGGTATTTCTTGAACTTTTATGTGTGTAAGAAAAGAGATTGACTTGAGGCGCTCGAAGGGTGGACCCGACCCGTTTTTTAAACGGGTCAATTTCTGGAACCTAAACCCGACCCGTTTTGAAATCGGGTCAGGTCCAACCCGAATTTTCCGGGTCGGGTTTTCGTGTCGTGTCAAATATTGACACCCCTACGGCTATTAGTGCTTGTTCTTGCAATAATTTTGTAATGCATGTTAATTGATCTCCACAATAACTCATATCATTAAGCGATATACATAGATTTGGAAACAACCATCACAACTTTGCGGACATTCAGCCTCCCGTCAAGGAGAATGGCCGAGTCTTAAAATAAGCCTACTTTTGACATTTCTCGTCAATTGTCACCCAACATATATCAAAGAGTCAAATTGTTTAATCTCTGACATTCAAAACAAGCCTTCATGGTGATCCAGTTTACCCTCATATTAGAAGAATAATCAAGTTTATTGTTCTACATCACTCGACTTTCAACATTCTTGAACAATCATCTCCCAACACATAATCATTAGAACAACTAAGTCATATCATATAAAGTCACTAGAGATCTAATATTCCTCAATGAGTGTTGCTAAATGCATAACAAATTGTAATGTTTGCTAACAACCAGTATCTGAAATGGGATTTCCCAAATGTCTGATCTAGCTTCTTATAAGAAGAATGATTAAGTTGGATTGTCTTAAGTTGCCTGGGTGTTGTTCCTCGTCGATTGATGCATACTAAACAATGATATTTGTCAACAACCTAACATCGTCCAACCTGTAGTATGTCTCGTCACATGTCATATAATGCCTACCAATAAGTGATATCCAATGTCCAACACAAGCCATCCCAAATAGAGAAATAAACTAGTTTATTGTAGGTTTAACCAAAAACTTGAATATCAAATAGCGTATTTATAATCAAGTGGTTACATTTTGCGGGACAAGTCTAATAGAGAATACAATTTGAATATATATGACTTATAATAATTGAAATTTGAAAAATATACCTGATATATTTTCTTAGAGAAATATACTTGAAATTTTATTTAAGATGAAATTCCCTCTAAAAGAGGGAAAACCATTTGTATATTGAGTCCATTGTGAACTAAATTGGCTTGAATTCGGACATTTATTCGATCCTATTTCAAACAAAGGTTTGTTTCTTATGATTTGGATGAAGGAGAAGCATAGTTCGAATTGAAATCTCACCACACGTGTCAATAGCATCGATACCATGTGAGGAGAAGAGAAGTCACAAATGGAGCTCACTAGGGAATGCATCATGGATCCGAGTAAGGCATTACAGGACAGGCGATCTGCTCACTGGTAAAGGCATCTAAGACCAAGGAAAGCATCACAGGGCCAATGGTCTGCTCATCGAGCAAGACATCACTAGAGTAGATGGTAGTGTATGAAGGAAGAGAAGTTCATGATGGGAACTCTTTGGGGAATGCTTCAACGAAATCAATGACGTGTAAGAAGAAAAAGAGTTACAATAAAACTTAGTGGAGAAGACATTGTGTGATCACAGACAGCATGTTTGTTGGGGATGGCATCATAGGACCAATAAGCATATTGATATAGGATTCATTTGGGATGACTTTCTTATTGCTTTTTAAAGTTATTTTTTAGTACAAATTTTTTAGTTCAATAAATTTTTATACTAAAAAAAACTACTTTAAAAAACAATAACCAGACAAAGAAAATTCATTCTGATAAAAAAATGAATAATGAATTTTATGATGTAATACAAATACATAGGAGAGGTTAATTTTATTCGAAACAAACTCCTGGAAATTTATTTCTTCAATTTTATCCCAATAAATTATTCGTTAACGCTTTACCGGCTTTTATATGATACGTGTCATCGTTCTATTGCATCAAAACCGTGTTCACTCATGCGACCTAAAGTTCCTGATCCAATCCCATGTTTTTAAACAGGCCAATTTCTCTCCATCGCTCTCTTTCTTGTAGAGATAAATTATAAAGAGCCCATGTCCTACCACCGGATTCCGTCACCGACGTCATGTCTCTTCTCCTCCCATACCAAACTTTTACGGTCCCCAGCCGTGTAGATCGCATTTCATTCGCAAATGCCCTAGTACATTCCGCACGCTGCCCCTCACATCGCCGTCGCCGTCGCCGGCGAAGCCTTCTCCTCCTTGCCGGATACTCTCCGCCGCAGCTTCGGCCTCCAGCAATGTGCTTGCAGAAACCCTTCGACATTTCCTTCAAACTACCTAACCCCTTGCCTCTCCTCACTGTATCCTCGGGCTGGTTCCTCTGGGTCTGCGGATTCCTCGGGATCCTCCCGTCAGACTTCTCCGATCGCTGGAACTACCTTGTGGAGCTCTCGAGGGGATCGGAGAAGAAGGTGAAAACCCTACCTTACCATCTAATCCAGGCTGTTCTGGCCTCAGAGGACCGCCGCTTCTTCTACCATTTCGGCTTCGATCCCTACGGCATCGGACGCGCCGTCGTTTTCTACCCTAATGGCGGCGGTGGGAGCACCATTACTCAGCAGGTAAGCGAATCGTCTTGTTGTAATTTACAAATCTAAAGAAGGGACTGTAGTTACTTTGGCTGTAAACATTATATGCGAAGTGCTAGCTTCTTACTGTTTCAATCTCAGCTGGCAAAGAATATGTTTTTGACAAGCGAACGGAAGATTTCTAGAAAATTTGTGGAGGGGATTCTGTCGCTAATTTTGGAAAGGAGATTTTCGAAGTGGGAAATCTTATATTCATATTTAAATAAGGTATGTAATCTACATGGTTTATTATGATCAACTTGTTCTTGTGAAAATCCTTTTATCTGGTTAAAACAGTTAGCCTGTTGGGCATTTGGTATTATTACATGAAATGTTTGTGGCATATTCTGAGGAGAAAATTGCCTATTCATATAGTGGCACTATACTATGTAATATTTACTAATCTAATCAATGATCTTATTGCAAACGCAATATCAATTTTGTTCTTTAGATAATGCTTGGACTAATTTAACTTTTTGTTTATATTGATAGAGAATTGAACCTTGTGCTAATTTCTTTGATTGTTATGGCTCCTACTGTGATATTACTTCATGAGAGTTTTCAAGTATGATGTCAAAAGAAGAATGATTTCCTTTCCTATCTGCAAGCAACCAAAGGAGCCCTAATCATCATATTGATGTCAAAAGAAGAATGATTTCCAATTGGTTTTTTACGTTATATTTTTCTTCTTTTCGCTCAGGTTGTTGAGCCCTGTCGTGTTTTGTTCTTCTCTGACTGTATTCTTGCTCTTTGTGGCCATCGATTAGCGTTGTGGTGTATTGATCATATTATCTAACGAAATTCTCTTTTGGAAAGAAAAAGAATGATTTCCAATGGCATCACTCATCAGGATCTTGATGGCGCAGATGTATTGGGGGCATGGCAACTATGGCATTGAAGCAGCATCTCTATTTTACTTTGGAAAGCATCCCCCTTTGCTTAATGTGGGGGAATCTGCATTGCTTGCTGGGATATTACCTGGTCCAGAATCGCTAAACCCAATTACAAATCCAAAGAAGTAAGATCAACTTTTTGAATTACAGTCTACAGCAACTTAGTTAAGTTAGCTTAATTTGTTAGCTAATGTGTTCCTTATTTAAGTTGCAATAGAGCGGAGAAAATCTAATTCCTTGACTTCTGAAGGGGGAAAGATTCGCAAGCTCGAGCATTAAGGAGAATGGTGGCTGCAGGGTTTTTGGATTTGGAGATGGCACTTTACATTGTGAGACAACCTCTTCGCTTATTTAATAATCGTGATGTAGAAGAAGTTCAGGTAATTATTTTTAAAGCGATTTTGAGTAGTATGTTGTGGCTCAGTTGTTGATAAGTTATAATCAACGTCTTAACTTTTTTATTTTTTTTTTATGTCATGGAGCGGTTAAATCTTTTTTAAGCTTTTTATCGGGCCTTTGTGTGTAAAGCCACTTATCCACCTGAGCATCCTCATCTTTGTAACACTTAACGCTATGCTTATCTTTTAAAAGCCAACATTCAACGCCATGAAGCATTGCAGGTCCTCAAGTTTGAGGGGTACTCTTCTATCACGCAATAGGCCTGATGAATTCCTCTACTTCAACCATCCAATTTGAATTATACTAAATAATATCCCCATCTTATTAGAGACGGAATGTGAAACGAGTATATACATGCAAAGGTTGGAGTAGTTATAGTGGCACATAAGATTAGAGAGAGTCGTCTTAGATGATTTTATCACATAAAATGAAGGCATTCCGATGATTCGATTATGACAGTAGATATAAAAAGACTTTGTTAGAAAGGATTAGAAATGATCATTTTTATTAAATTTAAATGAGAATTTGGTTCTTAATAAAACACAGTGGAGAAAAAAGATTCATGTAATGGACCACCTGAAATAGCATAAAGGCTTGATGTTGTTGTTGTGGTTGTTCGAGTGCTTAAATTTTTTTTTCTTTATTATTTACTGTACATGTATCTGAAATATGTACCACAAACATCTCATATTGTTGAGGAAAGGGAGACGCCTATATTGCTTAAGGGGAAGAAGCAGATCTTCTACTTGCCAAAATGATGAAAACCGCAGTGGCGCAGAAAATGATTTGTCGTTAGGCTAGCAGATCAAACGGGAATTTATTCAATTTTACAATAAAATGTAGTGAAAAAATGCTTGTGCAATTCCTTTTTTTTTCTGTTCATCTTTCATTCTGCCTGCTGTTAAATATTTATTTATTATCCTGTAATCTATTTTAGCTTGTAGCCTTTTATAATTTCATGTCATTTGACAAATGAATGTTTTTAATTAGACTGCTAAACCTTTCCAATTTTGCAGAAATAAACGCGCTTTGAAGCAAAGTGGAGAAACTTTTACTCATTATAATTAAATGTAGGACCACCAGAAGTGATGGTAAGCGACGTTGGTTATGCTTCAAAGTTCAGAATTCAAGTTCATTGTGATGATAAGATCTCAATATGCAATTTCAGTCGATGCAAAGGACTATATGGTCATGGCACCAACGACTATACCCACTATGTTTCTTAGGCTTTGTTTGAGACGGCTTTCTTACTGCAGCTTTCTAGTACGAAAATTTTAATTTTATACTAAAAGTTGCTTTAAAAAACAATAAAAAACCCGTAATAAACAAAACCTTGATGATTTTCGGTGATAAATCTACTGGAATATTACATTTTATCCGTCTGCGGTGACTAACATTGTATCCGAGGTTCATGATGTTACACCTGTATTTTTTGTAAGACAATTTACAATGTACATTGTAAAAGCACTTGAAATATTATGAATGAACAAGTTGAACCATCTGGTTGATGCATATGAAGAAGGTTGAAAATGCTTTGCAATTTTTTTTTCAACCTCATGCAAGGACGAGAATGATGAAGTAATAAATTACGCAACCTAGAGCATGATTTAACAAGATCTTATGCAAAATATAAGACTTGCTAGAGAGTTTAAGCAGTTCATGTCCATCATAAAAATTAATTTTGTAGTTGAATCAAAAGTTTTAGGGTTTTTACCTGATTATCCAAACTGTGCAACCAAAATACAAAAGAAGAATATATGAAGCCATGGTTCTCTTTCTATTTTTGCTCATTCCTCCATAAACCAAAGATATTTTTGGCCAGTGAGAAGGCAATTCTTTTCGTCCGCAACACAATATATCAAAAATTACGTTGCAATTGTACATGAGGAGATGTTTCCAGGATCTTCATAAGCGGAGAAATTATTTTGTACAAATGCCAAACGTGTCCGGAAAAACAAATCAGACGAGCCATGTCTGTATCGTGGCTCGGTACCAAGCCACTGTACCACTTGGTATTGCTGACGTGACTCTGGTTGGTCTCCGAATGCAGAGCTGCGTTTGACATCCGCACAGAATAATTTCACCCATAAGTGACCATCTTTTGAATAACTAAACTGTTGTTTTTCTGTCAATGAGACATTATTATTATTATTATTATTTGACCTCTTGAGAGGTTTCTAAAGATGGATGGTAGGAATCATAATAAACTTATAAATCATTGAATTATTAATTTGTATCAATGATTCAAATTTGTAAAGTGTGGATTTCTTAGGGGATCCAATAAAGAGATAGATATCATATGTAAAGTGCCAATTGACTTGGAATACTAGTCATTCAATAAGGCAATCAACGAAAAATAGAGGTTCAAAAATTCTACATGATTCGTTTGAATGTTCGGCCTTCTTGTTGAGTTAATGGTATAACAATGGCTTCTCCTTATCTAAACCACTATATCTCAATGTTGGCTTGGGCAAGTCTTGTCAAGTCATTAATCTCAACCCTAATATAGTGGAGTTCTAATTATAAGAATCAATAATAGCAGAAATAGATAAAGCGATTTATCTTCTGTCCATGAATTGCTATTAATAAAGCTTAGCTTGACAAGGAATGAAGATGAAGCTTGCAATGGGGAGTTGGAAGAAGACCTTGACCCGAATGTGTAATTGGTAGCATGTCTCCATTTCCAAGTTGAACTTGTTGAGAGCCAAGATATGGTTGCAGTTTTTTTATAAGATTGATGTCAAGTGTGAAATGCGAAGTTGCTCCTAAATTGAGTATCCAATCAATAGTATTTGTAGAAGAGACCAAAGCTGAAGCAATAGGTGGCTGATATTGAAGATTGGTTCTATAACAACACTTAAATACCTTCTTTTTTTTTTTTTTTTTTTTTTTTTTTTTTCTTTGAAAAAATCCTTTTTTTTTTTTTTTTTTTTTTTGCGTAGTTTGACATTCGATGTAATGAAGATATGCTCGATCACTGCGCAAGCTAGAAGTCTGAGCTGAGCCTGTAGGCGGTGTAGCAAACCGAGAGCGTCCCCATCCACGGGAGTAGAAATGCAAACGACCTCGTCCATAAGAAGTAGCAAGAGTAAGTTGTGGATCAAAATATGTGCAAGTGGAACCTTCACGAGCAGATTCAGCCACAAGATTTAGTTCCTCAGTACATACAATGCATAGAAATCATCTAAACTAATCGGATGAAGGTTGGTATGAATTGTAATCATAAAGGATTGATACTGAGAAGGTAAACCATTCAATGTGTAGAGGATCACATCTTCAATGTCTAATGAAGAGCCAAAGTTGGCGATTGCATCACATTTACTGTTGATTTCAGAAAGATAATGGAACATTGTTTTATCCTTCATGGATATAGGATGCAATTCATTCTTCAATTGAACCTCTCAGACATCACAATATTATTAACTCTGCAAAGCAAAGTCCATCAAATGGAGGACAATTGAAGCAAGATAAGATCGATTGGTAGATTGAAGTATCCTTTCTATTATTTTCTAGATTTCTACATTGGAATCCAAATTTAAAATGTCGGCAAAAATTTGGAGAAATTATAGAATAAGTTGTTGTTGTAAGGTTTTGATCCACAAGTATCCAAGTTTGATAATGTGGGTTAGGAATGATTTCACCAGGCTTATTGGTAATTTGCTTTGATGGTTTAGGTGTAGAACAATCTAGGTAGCTATCGAAATCATTTGTTGTGAACAACTTCAGCACTTGAGACTTCCAAAGATGATAATTATCACCAGTTAGTTGAATATGGATGACCAATTTGACATTGAGCATAAGAAACTTCAGTTGAGGGGAGATCAATGTATCTAGCCTCGATGCATGTAGTCTCCATCAGAAAAAACACCAATTTCAATGATGAAGATAAAGTATTGTAGATACAATATCACATACAAAACGATATTGACCATGGCATACCAATGATAGAAGATTCATGAGAGAAGTTTGAGAAGTGGAATGCTTGTGAGATATTAAAGAGCAACTCGACCAGTTTGCTTCCTGCTTCTTTATCTTGCAACAGCCAATATTGGCTAATTCAAGAGAAGAAAGACAGAATTCTCTAACCTTGGTACATTTATCCTCAAACCTTCAAAAACTAATGCTGATAATAGATGAATAAATTTTTATCGTTTCACTTTCGGGTTGAAGAGGGGGGGGGAGTGGATTGCTGAGGTTAGTATTAGATCTGGGCTTGGAATGGGCTAGGGAAATATTTTGAAGGTATATGTAATTAGGCTCTAAATGGGAGTGCTAGGGTGGGCTCGGTTAGAGGGAAAGAAGGGACTTGAGGTTGTGTATGTGATAGGAAGTACTTGAGTTCGCAAGTACCCACACGGCTAATACTTGAGTTCGCAAGCAATCCTATCAATAATCGGCAAAAACAGTGAGCAAAAGGGCTGATTTCAAGGAAAATCAGCAATACCAAAGCGAGAACTCTTGTAGGATGAACAAGAAACACCAAGGAAAAACTTTGATTCAAATAACAAACAAGAACACAAAGCAATATACAATTTCCCTCAATTCGAGAGCAAGGAAAACTCTCCAAAATCTCTAGCAAAAGCTTAGTGCCCAAAACAAACCCTAGATCTCAAAATTTCTCCAAATCTCAAGAGGAAACCCTAATTCTATCATTCCTTCCTAATTAAAGCTAAATGATGGATACAAATTCCCTAAAAACCCTTTTAATTCAAAATTTCCCTCCCAATAATGGATTTAAATCAAATTGGGGCCCACAAGTGGTTCCCCTCCCCACCCCCCC